CCACACTACCCCTCCCCCTTCGATAGCCCCTCAGGTACAGCCTCCTTCCCTGCAGTCCTCCTCGCAGCCTGCGGCAGACCCTGCAGAAGCCGGTGTTCAATGGCAAGGACCCTGTCAGTGCTAGCTTCGGGGGGTGCTGGAGTTGGGGCTGAGCCCGAGGCTGCAGGAGACTCTCGTCTTCAGGGAGCTGGTATAGGTGGTGCTGACTCTGGGGGTGCGGGTGTGCCCCCTTCGGGTCCTTGTGAGCCTGGCGTGTTGCTGTTGGTGGTACTGCCTCTGGGGGTGGTGCGTTGGGTGCTTTGGAGGGTGGTCCTGGGGCTGCCGCGGCCCCGGACACTACTCCTTCCCCCCACCCCTACCCGACCTGGCACCAGGCTCGTGTTCGCCGTGCCCGTGAGGAGCAGCTGAAGTTAGAGAGAGAGGAGAGAGAGAGAGAGTTGCAGTGGCTGGAGGTGGAGCAGCAGCAGCAGCGGCGGTTGGAGGAGGAGGAGCAGCAGCAGTAGCAGCCGCGGGAGCAATAGCAGCTGTTGCAGCCGCACCAGGAGCAGCAGCCGCAACCACCTCCTCCTCCTGTCTCTGGTCTTCAAACCCTCGGTCTCCCCTCTCCCTCTCCTTCCTCCTCCCCCTCTCCTGCTGTCTACGGTCCCACGTTTCCTCCTCCTGACTCCTCCCCAGCTGTTCTCCCTCGTTCTCCGACTTAGTTGTCTCCCCCTCCTTTGCCCTCCTGGCCCTCTCGACACTCTCCTCGTACTCGTCCCTCGTCCCCTGTCGCTCTCACTGACTTTCGTACTACCCTATTCTGTCCTAGTCCGCCTCGTTTGTCTCAGTCTATGCTTTCTTCTCCTCCTGATTCGGCCTTCACTGCTTCCCTCTCTACTCTTTCACTGACTACTATCGCACGTACCGTCTTGTTCTCCCTCGTGTTCTCGCCTCTCTTGTTACGGACCCTCGTGCCTCTCTGTCCTCTATCCCTGCCCTTACTGTCGCCGTCACTAAGTTCGCCACTACTCGCCACCTTGATTACGCCACTTGTCTCGTGTCTGCTCCTCCTACCAATCCTCTGGCCGTCGGGGGTGAGTCTACCCTTGGCTGTGACACCCTACAAGACAAGCAGTTTGAGCTGGGGTTCCTGGCAGCCGCTTCCCCTCATCTCTGTGCCATGCTGCTCTCCCTGAGGGAGACCCCGACGCCCTTGACATACTGACTCCTCGCACTTACACTGAGGCAGTGTCAGGGCCTTGGGCCTCTCATTGGAGAGCTGCCATGGACGTAGAGATGGCCTCCTACGGATCCACAGGCACCTACGTCGACGAGGTTCCCCCCCCCTGGGGCGAACGTAGTCGATGGCATGTCAATCTATAGGGTGAAGCGGCCACCGGGATCTCCTCCGGTCTTCAAGGCGCGCTATGTGGCTAGAGGTTTTAGTCAGCGCGAAGGAGTTGACTTTTTTCAGACCTTCGTGCCTACCCCGAAGATGACCACTCTTTGGGTGTTACTACACGTAGCAGCACAGAGAGACTACCATGTCAGAATGTCGATGTTTGTCTAGCCTGCAGTGGGGTACTCTATAGCGAGTACAACCCAATTAGGGTTTCCTATATGTGTCTCAACTGCTACTAGTGAAAACCCCCCCTTTCCTGTTTCTCGTTTTCGCCTGCTGTTTCGACATGCTATCAGAGCAGGTCGACCAACCTGGGTCGATCCTGTGGATGGGCCCGCCACCTAATGCTCCCGCTGCTGTCCTCCCTATCGCGCGCCCCAGGCGCGCGACGTGTTCTGCTTGCCGCGCGCTCGGGTGCACGGCGTAGTTTTCATCCCACCGCGCCACCGTGCGCCCCGAGGCGTGCGGCGGATTTCTGCCCCGTCGATCCGCGCTTCGCCCCTCGTCGCCCGTCGCAGCGCCCCCGGGGACCCGCGCGTCGCCCTCCGTCGCCCGTAGTGGCCCGCGCGACCTGCGCTAGGCCCGCGTGCGGCCCGTACGGCCCACACCCCTTTCACACACCCCCTGCTGAACCACTAGCACCGCTCACACGCCAACCCCCTCGTATCACTCCGACGGCCCCAACAGTTGGGGGAGGTTGACCAGAGGTAGCCGACTTATCGTCCGCAGTGCCTGAACTCCAGATAGCCACGACCCTCTGTGGCCGTGGAGTCCGGGGATCTGTGCCTGGTAGCCACAGTGTGAGCATTCCTCGTAGTCCAAAGAGCCATGACCCCCTGTGGCCGTGTAGTCCGGGGCTCTGCGCCCGGTAGCCACAGTGTGAGCACTCCTGGGAGCACAGTTCGCCAGCCGCGCGTGTCACCGTGTAGCCCAGGTTTAGCCTGGTAGCGTCAGTGCTGCGCACTCCTGTTGCCCGTGTGTCTGCAACTTCAGTCGTCGCCTCTCATCTTCTCGCCCTCCACAATTTCTCCTCCTCTTCACTTGCCCTCTGTGATAGCCTCTAGCTTTCCTTATCCTTGTGAACTATTGCACTGCCTGCTTGTTGTGGTGATTGTACCCCACTTTGACAATGGGGGTGTGTCAGAATGTCGATGTTTGTCTAGCCTGCAGTGGGGCACTCTATAGCGAGTACAACCCAATTGGGGTTTCCTATAAGTATCTCAACTACTACTAATGAAAACCCCTCTTTCCTGCTTCTCATTTTCGCCTGTTGTTTTGACATACGAGTTACATACTCTCGACTTCTCCACTGCTTTCCTTCAAGGTAGCCTTCACGAGGAGGTCTAGCTACGCCGTCCCTCTGCCTTCACTAGCACTTTCCCTCTTGGGACCCAATGGAGGCTGAGGCGACCTGTCTACGGTCTCCATCAGGCTCCTCGTGAGTGGCACGATACCCTTCGTTCTACCCTCTATAACCTTGGTTTCCAGCCGTCTTCTGCCGACCCGTCGTTGTTCGTCCGTCGTGGCTCCAAACCTTTCTTTTTTTCTGGTCTACGTCGACGACCTGGTTTTCGCCACTGCTGACAGGGTTGCATTGGCAGACGTAAAGTCCAAACTACAGAAGAGATACACGTGCACTGACCTTGGTGAGCTGCGCCACTACCTTGGCCTGCAGATCACCAGAGACAGAGCTGCTCGCACCATTACACTCTCACAGTCACACATGGTGCAGCGGGTTCTTCAGCGGTTCGAGCTTCAGCACTCCACAGTACAGCGCACACCTCTTGCTGTTGACTACAGACTCACTGGACCCTTTCCTGACGAGCCGTTTGAGTCTAGTGGTCCCTACGCAAAGCTGGTGGGCTGCCTCATGTACCTGATGACTTGCACTCGCCCGGACCTCACCTTTCCTCTCAGCATCCTTGCTCGCTTTATTGCGCCAGGGAGACACCGTCATGTTCACTGGACGGCAGCTGTGAGGGTGGCAAAGTACCTAGCGACGACATCAGGCGTAGGGCTGGTTCTTGGAGGGCAGCAGTCTGTTGTACTTACTGGTCACTGTGACTCTTCTTATGCTGACGACGCGGAGACTCACAGGACTACTCCGGGGTACTGTTTCAGCTTGGGTTCTGGAGTTGTTTCGTAGAGGTCCACGCGCTCCTCTCCGGTCTCGACCTCTACTGCTGAGGCTGAGATCTACGCTTGTGCCATGGCGACACAGGAGCTGCGTTGGTTGACCTTCTTGCTCGCCGACCTTGGTGAGCGGCCGAGCTCTGCACCGACCTTGTTCACTGACAACAAGGCGTCGATTCTCCTCTATCGAGAGCCGCGATTGGAGAGCAGAGTGAAGCACATTAACGCCATGTATTTTCTTCTGCGTGAGTTGCAGAGACATGGACAGGCTCGCTTGGAGTTTGTGGAGTCCGAGGCCAATACTGTAGACATCTTCACCAAGGCGCTTCTGCCTTATGACCACCAGAGGTGTTGTGTGCAGTTAGGCCTTGTTGACACAGGCTCTAGTCGTGTGTAGGCTTGAGTTTACCGTTTGCTTTGCTTGTATTCTTGCCACACACCTTTGAGAACTCTTGGACTGGCCTTGTGGCCCCTACTGCTTGTGCTTAGAGTGTGTGGTGACGTTGTGATCCACCCTGAGCTTTGTTTCTTTGTGACTGGTCTTGTTACCGTACACTCTTGGTTTTGCTTGACACCCCTCACTTAGGCTATGGGGGTGTGTCAAATGTTGTAGCCTGTGGTGAGGTTTGTCTTAGGGTACATTCCTGCGGTGACACTTGTGTCTCAATCCCCGTTTTCCCGAATCACGCCTGTAAATTTGCCAAATGTTGTGTCACAAACAACCAATGTATCGCGACTCTAGGCGACCCAGCGAAATGTACAGTTGTGCGCATTTGATTGGGTGATATAAATTACTGTAAATCCCTTTCTTCAACCGCTTGGCTGGAGTGTGGTTCAGACGCGCGGGATTTTTTCCCACACGAAATTGGCACTACAAGCTGTCCAGGTGCATTGACATTTCGAGCCGCGTGCGAATTTTTCACATTGACGAGTCGGATTACAATTCGTCAGCGACGTCAGCGCGTTTCACGCTGACCAAAAAAAAATACAGTTATGGTCGCGGAAAAGCAACTCGCAATTGGGACACACTACAGTTTATGCTGTTTTTGTGTGTCACAAAGAGATTGAGACATTTGTGTCCCCACAAGAATGCACCCTTAGGGGGTACAAATGTTAGGGTTTTCTTTATGTACCCCAACCCTCATCAGTAAGGGCGGGTCCAGCGCGTACGTTTACAGGTACTATACAGCTCATTCGTAGTGGTTTGAAAAGATATCAGGCGGTGCACAATGGTTTTGAAATTGCACCGTTTGGAACCGTGATGCAATACAGATTACCGTACTGGATGAAGTGTAATGTTCGGAAAACGTACGCGCTGGACCCGACCTAACACAACACTTTCATTCTTGACATAATCTATCTCGTTTGAATATATGTCTGCAAAGTCTATATATTTTTTGCTTTATTGCAATTATAACAAGCAAACTAAACCTACTTCTTATTACGTGACTACGTTGGAGCATATCGCAACATAGAATATATATAATCACGGTGTGATTAATGATCTAACAGAATTGGATGAGTGAATTCCAGCATCAATGCTGGCCACCAAAGCTGACTTGAGTGAAATGGTTGTTTGTCTGCCAAGTCAACACAACAAACAAACAAGATACAGAAATACTCATTAGACGGCTTCAAACCAAACCAACATAATATAATATGCTACATGAACACCACCGTATGCAGTAACATCTTATATGACATGTAGGTGCACGTCCCTACGCACAAGAAATCACACAGCCATACCCCTCCCCCCATAACCACACACACGTACCACTCACATGAAATTCACAGCCATGTTGCTGCTGGCTGCTGTCACTGCAGCAGGAGGTTGTAGAGTAGACTGTAACACATCACTCACATGCACTTTGCTGCCATGCTGCTGATGGCGGCCTTTGCTGCAGCAGGGGGGGTCGCACCATCCCACCGCACCTCCGCTAGGAACACCGACACCGACTTGACATCCGTGGCTCCATACGCGTTGTTGAGCACCGCAATCAGATCTGATCCTGAAAGATCCGTTATTGCCGAGGTTCCAGGCTTGCTACCAGTGGTGATGCTGCTGCTGGTGCCGATTCCGAACAGCTTGGCAAGTGGGCTGACTGTCTTGACTGGCGCTACTGCCCGTTTGTTGACTCCGTTGACTTGGGTCTCCTGGTTCAGCAGCGCTAGTGAGTCGGTATCAGCAGCGTTGACTCCATTGACTGAGTTGGCTGAGTTGACTCCAACCCAGTTCTCCTTGAGAGTAGTGCTGAGCAGCTGATTGGATGGCTTGGGTTTGCGGGAGGAGGTGAGGTAAATGTTCGAAAAGGATATCCTAGAGCATGGCACCGATTGGCTGCAGTTTAGAAGCACGCCGACCGTGCCATTCGTCGTGCCACGGATGTTCTTGTAACGGATGTTGGTAACCGCTACAGCCGTGCTACTGAGCTTGCAGCTACTGGCCGAAGCCGTCTTCTTGTCACAATAGAACTGGTTGATGAGAATCGGCCATGTAACGTCGGTTACGGTTACGTCCTCATATGTTACATTGCTTACGAGACCCACTCCCTGCTGGTAGGTCTTGATTCGGAGGCCGTTGTTGGACCCCCGTAAGCTCACGTTCCTTACTGTCACGTCGGATACGCACCCCAGCTCCCCGTCACCGCCCAGGCTGCCAATGCTGGGGGGGGGGGTATAGTGGGAGAAAGGAGATAGAGGGATGGAGAAAGGGAGGGCTATAGAAGACAGAGACAAGGGAGAAAGACTGCTGGATGATAGAAACAGTGGGCAGGGATATAGGGCGGATAGGAATGAGGCTTAGCACAATCGACATGGTTAGCATGTCCTACATGCGTGACAGTGCAGCCTCTTAATTACCTATCATACATGATTGCGCAATCATACCTTATGCCGTGCCCATTGATACACTGCGTATTCTCCACAAGGATGTTTCGACACCCGGTAATGATGGCAACATTGTCGTCGCCTGGAGAGGGGTGGTTGTGAAAACATAGACAGGGGATGATTGGCGATGAGACAAATGTTTCGGTCCAGTAAGTTACAATGCCATGATGGTTACACGGTTACAATGTAACGATGGTCATGTTGCCGTCTCAAATCTCCCTTTTCTCTCACCTCCTCCCTTCTCACCTTGCACTTTCCTCCCTAATCCTTTCTTGCCTCCTCCTTTTCTCTCACCTCCTCCCTTCTCACCTCCCACTTTCCTCCCTCATCCGTTCTTGCCTCCTCCTTTCCTCTCACCTCGTCCTTTTCTTACTCGCCTCCTCCTTTCCTACCCATCTCATACTTCTTTTATTCTCACCTCCTTCCAGTCTGCTGTTGCGCACGATGCCGTTCACCACCCCGCTGAGAAGAATGCTGTCCGTGTTGGGGCTGTTATATGGGGAAAGTGTAGCAACTCTCTCTAAAAGCACATCAGTAGTTCCGTATATCTTCACGTGCTGTCGTGCTGGGTTGCTGCAGAAAAAAATGGTGGGGGGTTAGAGAAGAACAAGAAACGGCTATTAGATGGCATGGATACATGCAATAAACATGTAAACATGTGATGTTGTCTCCATAAGCATCACAAGAAGTGTGCACCACACAAAAACGAATGTGTACTCATCCTTACGTGAACAGCATATCGCGAATCGTCACTCCATCGCAATTAGTGATTGACAGAAGCGCCGGCCGCTGCTGCCCGGGAAACTTCCAAAATCCCTGCCCCGCGCCATCCATCACTCCGCCGCCCGAAATCTCCAGATTCGATATCCGGTTGAACAGTAGCAGCGCCCACGAGCTCGGTTTGGCGGGTTTCGGATAGCTGCTGACGTCAGCGGCGCCTGTGATGACGCCATTGACCTTGGGATTGGGAATGGGGGAAAGTGACAGAGAATGGGCGAGAAGAGAGTAAGCTACAGAGAGGGGAAAGTTGAACTGGGAGGGGGTGAATGAGTGAGTGAGGAAGCGTGAATGAGCGAGAGCGAGGAAGGAGTGGGTCGTTGGAAAATGAGAATCAACGGGTGGGGGGGGAGGAGGAGAAGGTTGGGAGGAGGGGGTGGGGAGAGGGGGGCAAGATGTGGGGAACGGCGAAGGGGAGGGGAGGGGAGGGGGGGGAGGAGAGCGGGGAAGGACGGGGAGGGAAGGGAGGAGGAAAGGGCAGCTATTAGGCAAGAACAGGAGAGAACAGGGCGGAACAAGTGTTGTACTCACCACAAATTGTAGTCCGCTCCTGCAAGGCCCCTTCAAATACATGGGGTAAATTAGGAACTTCCCCTCAGCAGGAACGACCATCCGCGCCGCACCGCCCCCTGCCCCTGTCCCCGGGTCCTCTTCCGCTCCCGCGCCCGCGCCGTTCCCCGCGTCCGCGTCCGCAGTCCAGGCGCATGCGGCGGCGAACGTGCGGAGGAACGCATTCGTGTTGTCCGTCTTGCCATCGCCTTTCGCGCCGTACGCCACGACGCTGAAATCCTTCCCCGCCGCAGGCAACGGCACGTCCCCCGGCACGTTTCCCGGCGCTCCAGGCGGCGGCGATTTTTGCGGCGCTCCAGGCGGCGGGCTTCGCAGGACAGGCGGGAAAGGCGGGGAGGTGAATGGTGGAGCGGAAGCCCCGAATGGCGGGGCCTCTTCCCCCCTGATCGATCCGAGCGGAGGGGGATTCGAAGGCGGAGCAAGAACTCCTCCTTGGGGGGGATTCGGTACTGCTGGCGGGGAATTGGGCGGGGATTTCGGGAGTTTCGGGGATTTCGGGGGTTTCGGGGGAGACTTGGGGGGTTTGGGACTCTTAGGCGGCTTTGGCGACTTGGGTAGTTTAGGAGACTTCGGAAGTTTAGGAGACTTCGGAAATTTAGGAGATTTAGGAGGCTTGGGCGGGCTTTTTGGGGCTTTCGGGCTCTTCGTAACCTTAGGATCCTGGGGAAGTTTGGGTGGAGATTTTTTTGCGGTCGTGGCGATTGAAGTCGAAGCGCCCCCGCCGCTTTTCTGCATGACGGTTTTAAGAGCGTCGATTATGGGGAAATTCGTCGCGAGGGATCGGCGAGCCCTTCGCGAAGAGAAAACCTCGGCGAGAGATCGCAGGCTTCGTCGCATGATGTGGGCTGTCGCCCACGGTCTCCGCACCGGGGCGTCAAGCGCAAGCCCCGTTCTGCCCGCCGCATTGCCCGCCGCATTTTCCGCCGCTTTGGCCGCCGTATTGCCCGCCGCTTTACTCGCCACGTCGCTCGCTACATTGCTCGCCGCTACTGCCCCCACCGCTACAAGATCAGCATCTGTTGCGCTTTCCCCCAGTTGAAGTTCCGCCGACTGCTGCGCTGTCCCCCCCACTTGTGCGGCTTTTTCCACCGCTTGCGCGGGTTCCGCGGCGGGCCGGCGGAAGACATATCTGGCGGACGACCACGAAAGGGGGAACGTGGCGGAAAGAACCGCCAGGGAGACGATGAGGAGGATAGGCAGCGCGAGGAGCACCGTTGCGAGAGAATGCGACGCGGGCGACAGTCGCGGAGACGTCGCTCGTCGCATGGGCGACGTGGATTGCTCCCGTTCCATCGGCCGTTGCGCCTGCGGCGCCGACGATGTTGCCGCGTCGCTCGACGGAGTCAGGGACTGCCGAAAGCGAGGAAATCTGCACGGCATAATGAAGAAGCAAACAGACTCGATCTGATTCTGGATAGATTTGCGAATCCCTCGCGTGTATCAGCGTCTGTTCACGTTGCCTTCCGATTCAGTCCTGTTGCAACGCTATTGCAAAAGCTTAGCTTGACTACGGATGAACTACGGAAAAAACAATCTGTAACCAAATTGCGTGGATCTGTATATAACGGTAAGCTAAACACGCGGGCGCCGAATTCCTGAACTCGCTCTAGCATCTGAATTTTTGCGCTGCGGAAGCGAAGAGGCGGGACCAGATGCGGGACTGCAAACAAAGCGAAGAGCTATTGTGCCAAGCTTGCGCATATCACGCATCACACAGAAAGCGAGACAGGTTTACTATCAGACAGCCCGTGAGCCTGCATCCCCCCTGCGACCCGTTTTTCTGATTCCAATAGAGACTTCCTAACGCGATCTTGTGAGCTAATGACCACATGGGGACTGTAAGTGCCACAGTACGTTCCGTAGGAAGAGATTTCGCCTGCCGATGTGTGATTTCGCCTGCGGAATGTCGCACGGGCGCGGGGGTCTGTTACGACGAGCCTAAGCTGCTGCTTTTGACTCAGAAATTCTGAGGCGCCTCAAAAGCAAAATGGCGTATGCGTGACACCACGACGACGACAAGTGAAACGTGCTAGAGGCCAGGTAACGACTGTTGATCACTGTCCTAGACTAACATTCGGATAGTCCACCAACGAAGCGCGTTTCCGACTTGGCAATGGCATTCTCGTGGGGCAGAGGTACTCTTGACTTTGGTTAGATCGTCGTGGTTGGTGAGAGTCCTAAGACTCCTAGACTCCAAGAGGCGAAGGGACGGCATCTAAGCACTCGTCGCTTAGCCCGTTTCGCGGTCGCCAGGGCTGCAATCTACAGCTGGCGGGAGGAAGGCCTTACCAGTGCGCTTTCAGACGCGGCTCGTCGGTGGGGAGAGCGGATCAGAAAGGTATCCGAGGAGACTCATATGGGATAGCAGGCGCACGCGACCCGAACAAGGCCGCGGCCCGAAGAAGGCAAAATTCAGGGCTGGCTTGTGCGAGCGCGAGCAAGCAAGCTAAGGGCTGGGGGGGCGAGGTAACAAAACTGGGAACTCAAGGTTTGCGAAAATGTTAGATGCTACAAAGGAGGGAGCGGTGCGAAAGAGGTGTGTGTGTGGTGTTGTGGTTTGTGAAATTCGCGCTCGGGTCGGCTTGCTGAGCCTACACAGCTCGACAAACGAAAGGTGCAAAAGGGGCAAGCGAAGGCGCAAAAAGGGGCCAAGTGAAATGAGGTTCGCAAACATTCGTTTGTATGGAATGGCGTGTGTGCAAACAAGTGCTACTCTCTCTCTCAGTTGGTTTGCGCAATTCTGGTTTAATCCGGCTAAATATGTTGGGTTTTGCCTCTTCAGGGGCAGAGTGTGGGAGCAAATTTTGTGCACCTGTCCGAGAGTATGGGTGGGGGAAACGGATGCTGCCCACTTTCTGGTGCCTCGACGAATCAAATGTTGTCGGTTGCGCCTTTGAAAACGCGTTGAATTTGCGCATTGAAGCTCCGCTTGAATTGCGCGCTTTCCTTCGGCTGGCCATGGGGTGGGGAAACCCGTGCATTGAAACCTGATTGGTCTCTCGAGGCGCCAGGAGAGCCTTCAATGTTGGCGGCAGGGGCTACCAGGGGCCCGCCAGTCCCGGCGCAATGTGCGACTCCCTTTCTACTGTATTGGCCAAGAGCAAGCCGAAACGCAGGTGTAACAACCACGGGATAAACGCGGCACGGGAGGAAGACCAGATCGCTCGTTTCTATCACCAGGTACAGCGGTTGGGTGATTGAATGTGATGCGTAGAATGTAACGCTTGAATTGAAATTCTTTTCAATTCAACCAATTTCTATTCTATAGCAACTACACCAAGGGATGGAAAATGAAACATTCATGCTTTGGAAACCGTTCTTCGGACACAATTTGAGAACCAGGTAAATGGACCTCATTCCAGAATATCTGTTGGAAACAAGTAATTTGAACGCTTCTGTTATGTGTCGAAACACTAAGGGTACATTCCGCCGTGGACACATGTCCCAATCGATGTGTCCCAATCGAGTGTACCGCTTCGAACCGAACTAAACCAGAGACGCGAAAATTTCGAAACTAGTGTGCAATTTGGTGTAATACAATGCAGTGCGGTAGAAACGATTGGGACACATCGATTGGGACATGTGTCCACAACGGAATGTACCCTAAGTCATAAACAAGGCGAAGTACAACGAAGCATCGGCGAGTCAACACTTGGAGGTTGAAAAGTGAAGTAACCGCTGGAGGTTACGCGAAAGTCAAAGGTCTGCGACCTTTGACCTGACAAGTACAGGGCGATAGCAAGGACAAATAGCGGACTCATTATTGAGCAGTTGCCCAAGTCGTCATTGTATCGAACCGCAACAGCAACAGTAAAACAGTTATCAGTTGCATCTTTTCATATTCCTTGTACTCTTATAAAAGCCTTGTATCTCTTTGATTAATCAGTCTACTTTGCCCTCACATACCAGCGCAAGATGGTTCAAAGACTTACTATTATACGCTTCTGCATTTACAACAAATCCCACCCAAAGTTAAGCCTTGCAAAGATCCTAAGGGGTTTTTCAGCCCAACATGGTATCAGAGCTATCAGGGCAAACTCAACAATTTCAAAGACACCAACAACGTCAGAAGGCATGGAAACACAAAAGGAGAGAAGCTCCTCTAATGGCTCTCCCGGTACTACTCCCACTCCACCTCCTGCCTCTGGCCTACAGACAGAGGAGGGCACGGCAACAAGACCAGCAATCGGGTCTACTGAAACTACCAGCAAGCAGCGGGCTTCGACCCAAGCATGATTGAGAAGTTCTTCTCCTTCATGTCCTTCTACGAACAACACCACCAAGGAGCACCCGCGCAGTCAAATAACAGCAACAACAACAACAACAACGTGACACCGACGAGCCTCGACAATTCATCCTACGCGCGAGAAAATCAGCAACAGCAACCTACCTTCGCCCCGTACGAACCCTAGCGCGGTTCCGTCAGCTTCATGCCATGTCAAACATTATATATCTTGTGCTTGTTTAGGCTACAGTGGGTTAGCCTATAGGGGGTACACAATTCTAGGGTTAGGTACTTGTACTAATTTCACTATTAGTTCAATCATCCCTGTTCGTTCATTTCAACATGGTTTCAGAGCAGGTCCTTGGCTAGGACCGTTTTTTTTAGGGCCCACCACTACCTACCTACCTACCTGCGCCCTAGGGCGCCTCGTTTTTTACGGCCCCCTAAGGCCCCGCGACCCGCAATCCGCCCCTTAGCGACCTGCGCGCCGCCCCTTAAGGCCCCGTCGGCCCACGCGCTCGCCCCTTACGGCCCCGCGCTCGCCCCTTAGCGGCCCCGTCGGCCCCGCGATCGCACCTAACGGCCCAGTCGGCCCCGCGCTCACCTCCCTAGAGACCCCCGTCGGCCCCGCACTCGCCCCTAGAGGCCCCTTACGGCCCCGCGCTCGCCCCTAGAGGCCCCGAACGGCCCCGCGCTTGCCCCTAGAGGCCCTTTACGGCCCCGCGCTTGCCCCTAGAGGCCCCGAACGGCCCCACGTTCGCCCCTAGCGGCCCCCTACGGCTCTGTGCTCGCCCCAAACGGCCCCGCGCTCGCCCCTAGAGGCCCCGAACGGCCCCGCACTCGCCCCTGGAGGCCCCAAACGGCCCGTGACCGCCACAGCCCCTCCAGGACCGAGCCGAGCCGCGCGACCCGAACTGAGCCGCCTAGTCCGAGCCTAGCCGCGCGACCCGAATTGAACCGCGCCGCCCTACCCGAGCCGCGCCGCCATACCTGAACCGAACCGCTCCTAGTGCGTCTGCCGCTCCAGGTACTCGCGTCTTTGCTACCCCAGGTGCTGGTGAGGCAGCTGCTCTAGGTGCTTGTGCGTCTGCCCCCCCTGGTATTGAGTCGACTGCAGCACTGCACACCTTCACACTGGACTCAGGTGCTTCTCGCTGCTTCTTTCGTGACCGCACTGCCCTTGAGCCGCTTGCTCGGCTAGTTGCTGTCTCCCTCGCTGACCCCTCTGGGGGTCCGGTCATTGCGACCTCCTCCACTGTCCTCCCCTGTCCTGCGGTCCCGTCGGGCACACTATCAGGTCTCCACCTCCCCTCGTTCTCTACGAACCTGGTGGCAGGATGTGCGCTCCAGGACGGGGGTGTTCACCAGTTCACACCTGCCTACGAGCGCGTGACACAATGCACGTGTGCTTGTACGGGCCGTCACTTGGCTACCTTCACTCGGCAGCCGGGGTCGGACCTGTACACACTAACCGCTGAGTCCCCTCAGGTCGCTACGTCTGCGTCTGCGTCCGTGTCAGGTCAGCTGTCTGCCCCCTGCTCGTGTCGCTCTTTAGCACACGAGACTGTCCTCTGGCACCACCGCCTTGGCCACCCGTCTGTGAAGCGGCTTCGTGCCATGCACTCCCGGTACTTAGTCTCTGGCCTTCCCAGGGTCCTTCCTCCCCTCCCTCCCTCACCTGCTCCTCCCTGTCTTCCCTGTGTCGAGGGGCGGCAGCGGGCTGCTCCTCACTCCTCCTCGTTTCCCCCGACGACTGCTCCCTTGCAGACGCTCCACATGGACGTGTGGGGCCCAGCGCGCGTCCGTGGTCAGGGTCAGGAGAGGTACTTCCTGATAGTTGTTGACGACTACTCGCGCTACACCTTGGTCTTCCCCTTGCGCACCAAGGGTGAGGTCCCTGATGTCTTGATCCCTTGGATCCGCAGAGCCCGTCTCCAGCTCAGCGAGCGTTTCCACTCGGACTTTCCTGTCCTGCGCTTGCACTCTGACAGAGGTGGTGAGTTCTCCTCCGACCTCTTGGCAGCCTACTGTGCTGAGCACGGCATTGAGCAGTCGTTCACGCTTCCGG